TATTTTTAGTTGTCCAGATCATTTCTTTCTATTTTTTTTAGTAGAGACGGGGTCTTGCTCTTGCTCAGGCTGGTCTCGAACTCCTGAGCTCAAACAATACGCCCGCCTTGGCCTCCCAGAGTGCTAGGATTACAGGCGTGAGCCACTGCGCCCCGCCTCAAGTAAAAAATTTATTAGCTCTCGAATTTAGAATTAACTGTAGCTCCACTGCCTCTTCTAGTATGCATAATTTAAAACTTGAATGAAATTCCTAAACTGGAAGTACATAAGATAGAGACTTTTTAGAGATTCATCTTAACAGTCAATGTTGACTAACAAGAACACAAAGTAAATATATACTCCCTGAAATGTCTCCTCAAAACAATTCATGCAGATAAGGTGGTTTACTTTTTTATTATGAAATGCATCAGAAATTTATTTTTAAACTAATCACAATATTCAGACTATTTTGTTGTAGTAAATTAAGCTTATTTAGCTGAAAATACACAAAAATTATGTTCAGTTTAAATGAAAACTCAAGGCAGAAACTGAAATTTATTCTTTGTTTCACTCAATAAAAGCAACTTCCTTCAAGCCTTATTTTCTAGGCAATAAAGAAACACAAGTACCAATCATCACAATCATATTCCTAATTTTCCAAGGCTGACCTAGAAATAACACACATCACAGGATAAATTAAAAGTTTTTCAACCACATAATACATTAACCCCACTTCTTCTGTTTTCCTTTACTCTGTTGATAGAGGCAGGTCATACTCAACTCTTGCCATTCCATGAAAAAAACTTCTTGTCAATAACAATTTCTCTAAAAAACTGAGATCTTGGACCCAATATTTATTTCCCTGTCCTAATCTTGGATAAACACTCTGTTTAAAAGAAAATTCAGGCCAGGCCCAGTGGCTCACGCCTGTAATCCCAGCACTCTGGGAGGCCAAGGCGGGAGGATCCCTTGAGCTCAGGAGTTTGAGATCAGCCTGAGCAAAACCAGCCTGAGTAAGAGCAAGACCCTGTCTCTACTAAAAACAGAAAAACTAGCCGGGAGTGGTGGTGTATGCCTGTAGTCCCAGGAACTCGGGAGGCTGAGGCAGGAGGATTGCTTGAGCCTAGGAGTTTGAGATTGCTGTGAGCTAGGCCGATGCCATGGCACTGTAGCCCAGGTGACAGTGAGAGACTCTGTCTCAAAAAAAATAAAAAATAAAATAATAAAATTCAATTTTAAATTACACATAATAAACTGTCAAATGGGCATGTATCATTGCAAATGAAAGTTGAGTAACAGCTGCTCTTTCTCTGGTCCATTCTTTAAAAAGATGTTGGACTTTTAGGAGTGAATTTCTATATCATTTAACATAGGTTCTATACATCTCCAAAAAGATATTACTTGGCCAAAATTAGCAACATTGAGTTGTTTCTTTTTTCATAAATGAATTGTTCTTCCCTTACAAAAACATTGGGCTCAGCCTAGAACTTTGTTCAACAAGTTTACCAAAGAGATAAATGAAATCTGACCAAAGAAATACAATAATTTTCTCAAAGAATATACAGTGATAGGTACTGCTTCTCATCCATTCATTTATTTATTCATTTAAATGCTCACTATAAATTAAGTACTAGGGTTATGGAAATGTAAAATAAAATAGTCCCTTACCCTTGAATCTGCAGGGTCATATCACAGTAAGAAGACAATTAAAACAGAAGAAATATTATAATTATAATCCGCCCAAAATGTAAACGAGGCACAGAAAAGACACATACCTCTTTGGGGGAGGAGGGGAGGAGAAAGTGCCACAAAAAGGCACCCCTGAACTAGGACTTGAAGACTAAGTTAGCTAGGCAAATGGGAAAAAGGTAAGAGAAGGTGAATATAAAGAGGAGGGAAAGGGTGTGCATCGAGAACTAGAAATACGAGCCAGCAAGTGTAGTCAGAGAACTAAAAATAGCACCTGATTAAGTGAAGGGCATGTAAGAATTAAGGATTCTTCAACATCATTAGTCATTAGGGAAATGTAAATTAAAACCCAAACAAGAAATCACTAGACACCTATTATAACGACTAAAAATTTTTTTAAAAAAAACAAAAAGTTGACAATACCAAGTGCTAAGAACAAGAGGAACTCTCATACATTGCTCGTGGAAATGCAAACTAGTACAGTCACTTTGCAAAACAATTTGGCAGTTCCTTATAAAATTAAAAACATCTTTACTGTGCTCCAGCAATCCTACTCCTAGATATTGACCCAAGTGAAATGAAAACTTGTATGTTTACACAAAAACCTGCACATAAATGTTTATAGTGACTATATTTGCAATTGCCAAAAACTATTATAGAAATAGCTGAGATGTCCTTCAACTGGGGAGTGGATAGAAAACTGGTTCACTCATCTACACAATCAGTAATAAAAAGATCTGTTCTACCAATATATGCAACAAGGAGGAATCTCAAATGAGTTATGCTAAGTGAAAGATGACATACTTATAAGGCTACATACTACACAATTCCATTTATACACCATTCTAGAAACAGCAAAAGTAAAGATAGAAAACGAATCAGTGGTCGCCAGTGGCTGGAGATAGGGAAGGGATATCTACAAAGGGATATGGAGGAATTTTGGGAGACGATGAACTGTTCTATATACAATAGTCCCCCCTTATCTGCAGCTTCTCTTTTCCTGGTTTCAGTTACCCATGGTCAATCAAGGTCTGAAAATACTAAATGGAAGATTCCAGAAATAAACAATTAGTAAGTTTTAAATTGCATGCCATTCTGAGAAGCATGATCAAATCTCATGCCATACGGTTCAATCTCACCCATCTCCTCCCAGGACACAATCATCCCTTTGTCCAGCATATCTGTGCTATATATACCACATGCCCATTAGTCACTTAGTAGCCCTCTTTGATTATCAGACTGAAACAACATAGTATATGTAGTGTTCGGTACTGCCTGCAGTTTTAGGCATCCACCGGGGGTCTTAGAACGTTATTTCTCATGGATAATGAGGGCTGCCATATTGACTGTGGTGGTGGTTACATGACTATACACATTTGACAGAACTGTACACTAAAAAGGATAAGTTTTACTATATGTAAAATATATTTAATTCTAAAAAAGAAAAAAGATGAAGGATCTTAGTCAAAAAGAGATAAGATTGAAAAATTATCGGAGTTAGCCACATCATAAAGGACCCTACTAAGAAGTTCTAGATTTTATCTTCAAAGCAACAGACATTCCAAATGACCTCAAGGAAGGGACAGACACAATTCAGTCCTGTATTAGAGAGAACACCGACAACAGCTATAGATTGGAATAAGCACAACAGAGAGCAAACTGGGAGACCAGTCAACGAACCACCTCAGTAATTCAGGAGATAAATTACCAAGACCTGACTAAGGGAGAGGCAGTAGAGACTGACAGAGAAAGTTAAAGGTAGGAAATAGTTTCTAGCAATAGTGAAACCACCAACCAAATGGTTTTGAGAAAAAGATTTTAAATAAGCTAAATTTAAATGCCTGAGGGACATTCAAATGCAAACATCTGGTTAGACACATTGGTCTGGAGCTTAAGGGTCCAGAGCCTGAGATGTAGCATTAGATTTGAGACCCTTCAGGATATTTGCAGCCATGAAAATACAAGGTCAAGATCATGCAACGACAGAATAAGTAGAGTGAAAGGTAAAAAGAATCCTGGGAATCATCCTGAGCAATACCAGCATTATGGAGTTGATGATATAATTTGAAATATAAAAGAACTGGCTTACTGATCACGCAGCTATGAAGTTAGAAATGGTTACAACCCTGTGCCTATGTCAACATGGGGCCTCTTTCAACCACTTTATCCTTGTTATCCCTGACTTTATTAATATCTTTTGGCCTGATCACCCTAGGAAAACGGAGGCATTCAGATCCCACTTTTCCAAATACCAAAAGACAGTTAAATAAAAGGTGTCATTTAATTCCAAGTGTTTGCTTTCTGCTTTTTCATACTGTTGACAATGAGCAAATAAAGTAAAAGGAATAATCTACTGAATACACTTCTTTTGTCAATTAAACATAAGAGGACCGCCAAGAGGGATTAAATGATTGACTTCAAATACTGGTCAGCTTACCCACACAGCCCAAGAGCTTCATTCTGGTAGCTGAACAAATGACCCTACAGTTGCTTTACGGGATCTCTTGATACTGCAATAAAGCTGTCAGGAGATACTATAGGATAGAGATCCAATGATTCTAGATAATTAGTTCTTAAACAGGGATATGCACCAAAATTCAGTGTGGATGGAGCTTTCTCAAAATGCCTCTCTTGCCCAAAGCTCTACTTCTGAAAATTCTGATTTAGGAACTTTTGAGGTGAGGCCCAAACTACTATATTTGCAATAGTCCCGTAAGTGATTCTGATGTACACGCACGCACACACACACACACACACCCCCACACACACCACACACAGGTCCCAAGTTGAAAAGCGATAAATATATAAAAGTTGGTTCCAGGCTATATCAGGGAGTTCTCATCTGGAAGCTTCTAAATCACATCCTAACCCCCAGGAAGCTCCTCCAATTGAGAACACAAAAATATACATTTCCCAATCAAAATCTAAAATTCTAAGCCCTAACCCCTGCGAAACATCTATGAATCACCTAGTGGCTTTGATTACTAGCTTTGAGAGGATTTAACTTCTCAGCAGAATTCAGAAAAAGGCAGTGTAAAAAAAGTCATGGAAAATGAGTCATTGTCCCTCCATCGCTTAATTCCAATTCTCATTTTAATAACAAACCTACCAGAAAAACTTGGTTAATATCACCAACTCAAGATTTAACTTCAACTAGTATTTAAGCATAACCAGATCCAACCTGCTATACTGGAATATTCAGATTCTGCTTTTCCAAGTACCAAAATTTCCAAGATTCCAACTTTCCAATTACATCATAAATGTTAAAAAACAAAACAAAAATAATTATCCAAAAATGGCAAATGATTTTTCCCACCAAAATTTACACTTACCCATCCCTTCCTTTACTGACAATTTTTACTTCAAAATAATAAATCCCACAGGCTGCTGGTATTGGATGGGTGGCACGAACTGACGCTGCATCTTTTGGGGTTTTGCCATGACCTGCATATGAAATAGGAAAGGAAAAAAAAAAAAATCAAATGACATTCACTGAAGTATGAAAATGAAAATCTTAGAAACAATTCAGGAACAAATAGGTTTTGGAACAATATATAATTTCTGCTCCCATCAGTTCAAATAATTAAAGACTTAATGAAACATTTATCATCTCAATTAATCCAATATGCAAAATAGCACAAGTTAGCCACAGAACTCTTCACACTTACTAGTTTTATTAGGATTTCAGAATCTAAACACATACATTGAACCTAGCAGCCCTTTATACAAATTATTTTGTAGTAGACTATATATTTAAGAAAAAAAGGGCTATATTTGAAAAACATAAGAAAATAATCTTATCAGATCTAAATATGCATATACTTTATAAAATTTCTATACACTTTTGCCAAATGGCCTGCTTTATAAACCAGAAGTACCATGTGATAAAGTGTATTTTTAAGTGAAATTTTATACAATTATATTGAATTGGCAAACCAGCTTTCTTGTTTTAAGAATTTATAATTTTGTTCTTTGATATATCTTATTAATTCTATACAAAGTGTGAGTCATAAAATTTCTTTGGTCAATAACAACTTACTGAGAGATATATCTAATCTCTAGTTGCATTTTGTTTATTTTTTTCTTGAAGACAAGAAATAATACCATACCACTGCTAACATTTTAAGAAATCTGTTAGAAAATGGCTTTTAAAGTTTTTAAACTAGCTATTCTTCAATTCTAATCCCAGAGGGTTTCTTTTACTCACAATCACTTTCCCTAGCCCTCACCCAAGACACAAATTACCTTCAAAGCTAGCATGTCAACAAAATTAAATGAGCAAAATAAATGTCCATAAAACCACAAAAGAATAAAGACAGAAGTTGAACTAGCATGTCAGAAAGTATACAAAGAGTATGAGTGAGATGAGTCTCCATAATCCTCAAAAGGACTGTATGAGAAACAATACTCTAAATTATTATTCAGGTGTTCTAGTTTGGTATGCTTCACTCAATGCGAACCTGTCATTAATCTTTCAGTCATACTATAAGATTACCTTCATGGGTAGCAGAATTCTTCTCAAATTTAACATTATTGTTTTAAAACTAAATACTTTATTTTAAGTCAAAAATTTTATCTTAAGATATACAATAAATCATCACAAACAAATGAGATATATTCCTTTACCATATACTCTACCAAATTGCCAGTGCATACATTATTAAACAGTTAAATTTACACTTGCAATGCAAATTAGTAAATGTTCTCATATGCCCCTCCCACCATCCCTCCAAAAAACAAAACAACAACAACAACAACGAAATGAACTAAGCCACTCCTTCCTATTACCATGAAAACTTGGGTTATGGGCAGAAGTTCTTAGCCTTGTGACCATAAGGAGTCAATAAGCTAGGCTAAGAAATGGGAGCAGCAAAGTAGGATGCCCCCAAACTACTTTAACGCACATAGGTAATAGATTTATACTGAGCTAAGCAGCAGGCAAACACTAACAGCCAAAATCTACACTATAGTCACTTTTTAACAAGCATTTAATAAATTATGGTTTTAGTAAAACATCTTTTTAAATCAAAGTATGTTCAAATAACTAGGTTACCTGGGAAAAGGTCATGGAAACTAATGCATATTTAAAAATTAGATAGTTACAAACAAATCTAAAGAAAACTCTGACTAAACAGAATCTAACTGGAGTCTAAATCCATTAGATTTTATTATTGGTTTTTTTTTGAATGGGAATGACTCAAACTTTTAGGGATAAGGTAATTTCAAGGTACACTTAATAATAAATAGTAGTTAACATATATTTAATACTATGTGAAAGGCCCTGTTCTGAGGGCATTTTATTTATAACTCATTTAATACTCAAAACAACCCCAAGAGTAGGTACCCTTTATTATCATTTCACAGCTGGAGGAAACTAAGTGAAGATAAAGAAACTTGAGCAATGAGCAAAGAATTCCAAACCAGGATTTGTGCTGGGATTTAAATTTAAGAAGCCTGATCCAGTGTGAGCTCTGAACCCACAAGAAGGATTTAGTTACAATGAGCATTCTAGAATCACTTCACATTTATCCCCATCTCTTATTCTTGCTATTTCTATGGGAAAAGAGAAAGAAAACTAGTATTTTAGAGTAAACAATATCTCAAAGTGTTAGGTGCTTTTTTATGGATTTTTCTCATTTTTAAAAATGATGTTTTTACAGAGATTATGTAACATGCCTCAAATTGGTAGAATCATACATTAAATCCATACATGAATTAAAATCCCATACATCTTTCCATTATGCAAAAATAACCAAGAAGTACTACACAATCATAAATCAAGAACCTATTATATTTATTATGATTTACTAAGACATTGTAAAAAAATTCTGTAAATGTTAGAATTTGTAAATGTAAGAATTTGTTTCATGTTTAAATTAAATTTAAAAGATAGAAGCAAAAGCTTAGACGTAAGATTAAAAGGATTCATACTATTTCTTAGACAAGACTAGTACAGGTTGAGTATCCCTTATCCAAAATGCTTGGGATCAGAAGTGTTTTGGATTTCAATTTTTTTTTCAGATTTTGGAAAATTTGCATATATTTACCAAGTTGAGCATTCCACATTCAAAAATCCAAAATCTGAAATGTTCCAATAAGCATTTCCTTCGAGCATCATGTTGTAGCTCAAATTTGGATTTTGGAGCATTTTGGATTTTGGACTTTCAGATGTGGGATGCTCTACCTGCGATATCAGAAGCTAAGGGCCCATTTCTAACAATGCCATCAGCTGAAAGTTTATCACTACCTTACATTCTGTAGTAACCAAAAACACAAGCTCACATTACCAAAGTTTAAACTTTTAAAACCACAACGTCCTCAAATGCTAAGTGTTTTCTATATGGCTCTAGAAGAAGATATAGGTATTGCTTCAAAACTCTAAGGCTAGCAAGGCTAGCTCTTTTTATTCAAACAATCTGTTGATTCCATTTGATGAAATGGAAAGAGTTTGAATAAATTCTTCCACCCCATCCCCATTGCCATCCACTATCCAACATGCAGCCAGCCAGTATCTTTCTGGAAATTTAAATCAGCCTTCCTGGCATCACCACTGCTCAATACAATAAAATTCTTTTCAAAGCTTCTTCTTTGGCCTAGGAAGGAGGCACTTTCTGAACACCTTGTCTGACCTCATTGATACCTGCACTTTCCATCTCTTTTCTGCTCCAGCCACATTAGCCCTATTTTAGTTCTTCATATTCATCAGGCCAGAGTCTGTGCACATACTCTTTCCTCCACCCTTCCTTCTTAGCCTGGTTAGGTCCCACTCATCCTTTAGATCTTAGCTCAAATTTTTACTTCCTCAAATATCCTTTCTCTAACCTCTCTGACTTGGTCTTAACCTTTTTATATGTACTCAACATGTATCACAACATCGACACATTTAACACTTACTTATTAATTACTTTATCATTCCTGCATTTAAATTCCTGGACCTCTTTACTCCCACTAACTTCGGCTCTAACTTCAATCATTCCTTCTTGAAGAAGGAAGCCCAAGACCCAGGGTCTAATGCTGCGAGGGATCAGCAGACTGTGACATCAGGCACAAACGCCAGTGGAAAGTTAACTGGACTTGTATTTTATTAAGACTGTAATTTCTGTACTGCAAAAAACTTAAAACCTTTGGTTACAAAGTTCCAAAGGTTTTAAGTGGTTGCCCCAGCCCTATATTTCCCATAAGTCCTATTACTTTTGGCACACAATTTTGTGGAGAACATGAGATTTTTTCCAGCAATGCAATGCATTCACATCATTACAGCAGAAATGCCTGTATCTTCCTCTAACACACACCCTTCTATTCTCTCTTCTTTGTGAAGACTTCAGTTCTATATTTCCTTTTTAAAATCCTGGGAACTCCAATTCCCTGAACTCTTTCTGTTTTTTCTTCCTCTTTCCTCTTCCAGGATAGGCTACATGGTAAGCACATAAAAGCTCTTAAATACCTTTGATTTCCCTCATATGCCTATCCTTCCATCACACCCAACCAGCAAAACCACAGCCTTTCATCAAAATTATAATCCACCTTCCCTACTCCTACACTGGACAGGTGACCACTGCTGAATAAAGTCCAACAATCTTGCAAATAGCCACTGCTAAGAACTAATGTCAACTGGGTTCTCTCGGTGCCACCATTTTCAGAAATCTTTAGTCAGCTTGTTCCCCATTCCTCAATAGCTAGTCCACATTTTCATCATTTACTTTAAGTTTTAAGTCCTCTACTCAAATTCAGTGAGCAAACTACCTCACCTCATCAAGAAAATGGGAGGCCATTAGATATGGTCATATTCAACTCTCCACTCTCCTATTACAAAGTGGTCTACGTACATACCACTCTTTACTTCTTCCACTATTTTTTTCTTTTTGGAGACAGGATTTCATTCTGTCACCCAGGCTAGAGTGCAGTGACATCATCATTGCTCAATGCAACCTCAAACTCCTGGGCTCAAGTGATCCTCCTAACTCAGCCTCCCGAGTAGCTGGGACTACAGGCACGTTCCACCACACCCAGCTAATTTTTTAAATTTTTTGTAGATAATTTTTTAAAATTTTTTGTAGAGCATTGAGATACGTTGCCCAGGCTGGTCTTGAACTCCTAGCCTCAAGCAATCCACCCACCTCCGCCTCCCAAAGTGCTGGGATTACAGGGGTGAGCCAGCGAGTACATACTCTCCTCTCCTCTTCAAGACCAACCACCCTGTGCTCTGGAACCATTTTCCTCCCTCCAACCCCTAACTCTGTCAGCCTCTCAAACTTGTATTTTCATCCTCTTCCTCTCTCCGCTCTCCTTCTCCTCAATCTATAAGGAAACGGTGTCCAAGAATGTATATACTTTTCATAAAATTCCACGCCTCTGTGCTGAGTATCACTGTCAGTAATGTACTAGAGTTGGTGGTATGATGAACTTTTTTTTAACTTCAAAGTAATAAAAACCAAGTACGGCTA